AGAGACATTTATATATATATATATATATATATATATATATATATATATATATATATATATATATATATATATATATATATATATATATATATATCTGCTATGTAAAAATTTGTATATCTGATATCAAACCTTCTTTCTTTCCACGCTTTCGCCCTCGGTATGTTTTCTCTGGAAAGATTAACAATACATGAGGACATTAAGTGCTGTGTTAAATAATTACTTGTATTGCTAAAACAGAAGGGGAACTTTGGCAATCTTCCTTTCTCCTATGTAAAGAAAGGCTGTGTGTAGATGGTATTCTGATCGATGTAAAAATTTGTATATCTGATATCAAACCTTCTTTCTTTCCACGCTTTCGCCCTCGGTATGTTTTCTCTGGAAAGATTAACAATACATGAGGACATTAAGTGCTGTGTTAAATAATTACTTGTATTGCTAAAACAGAAGGGGAACTTTGGCAATCTTCCTTTCTCCTATGTAAAGAAAGGCTGTGTGTAGATGGTATTCTGATCGATGTAAAAATTTGTATATCTGATATCAAACCTTCTTTCTTTCCACGCTTTCGCCCTCGGTATGTTTTCTCTGGAAAGATTAACAATACATGAGGACATTAAGTGCTGTGTTAAATAATTACTTGTATTGCTAAAACAGAAGGGGAACTTTGGCAATCTTCCTTTCTCCTATGTAAAGAAAGGCTGTGTGTAGATGGTATTCTGATCGATGTAAAAATTTGTATATCTGATATCAAACCTTCTTTCTTTCCACGCTTTCGCCCTCGGTATGTTTTCTCTGGAAAGATTAACAATACATGAGGACATTAAGTGCTGTGTTAAATAATTACTTGTATTGCTAAAACAGAAGGGGAACTTTGGCAATCTTCCTTTCTCCTATGTAAAGAAAGGCTGTGTGTAGATAATGGTATTCTGATCGATGTAAAAATTTGTATATCTGATATCAAACCTTCTTTCTTTCCACGCTTTCGCCCTCGGTATGTTTTCTCTGCAAATATTAACAATACATGAGGACATTAAGTGCTGTGTTAAATTATTACTTGTATTGCTAAAACAGAAGGGGAACTTTGGCAATCTTCCTTTCTCCTATGTAAAGAAAGGCTGTGTGTAGATAATGGTATTCTGATCGATGTAAAAATTATGTATATCTGATATCAAACCTTATCTCTTTTCTCGCTGTCGCCCTCACTTTCACCCTCCGTCTTCTCTTCTTCCTCGACCTCATCTTCCTCGACCTCCTCCTCTTCTTCCTCGACCTCCTCCTCATAGTTCGAATCATCGTCATCCCTATCATCATCGTCATCCCTATCATCATCGTCATCCCTATCATCATCGTCATCCCTATCATCATCGTCATCTCTATCATCATCGTCATCCCTATCATCATCGTCATCCCTATCATCATCGTCATCCCTATCATCATCGTCATCCCTATCATCATCGTCATCCCTATCATCATCGTCATCCCTATCATCATCGTCTTCCCCCTCGGAACGGGGCGTTGATGGCTTTTGCCATGCAAACTGCTGTATGAATGGGTCCTAAAAATACAATGTTCAAAAACACATTATTTCGAGCTACTCGTACGAGTATACACCAATTACGAATTTAGCACAGGTAACTAACCTCTGTCTCTTGGGACAGTTTGATGGGGAAAAGATCATCCTCGGCCTTCTTGTATTCACATCCCTCGACGTCCATGTAAATTCTAATGAGAGCTTCAGGGAAGATGACCTTGCAAACATAATCGGGCGAGCACTCACCGCTGAACATCACCGCCAAGGTAGAACACATGAGGTCGTGCTGATCGTTGCTAAACTTTCCCATTGGACAATTACCGTCCAGGTTGAAGCGAGCTTTTCCACCAGCAGCATACAAATCGTACCGTTCGGTTGGTCCTTCCCCCTTGCCGATATTAGTCAGGAATGAACGGAGGTCTAGCAGGCGCTGTTCCAATTCTTCGAGGCGCATAGTAGATACCATGATTCTATAAAAAAGTTATGAAAAAACGACGGTTGATCATGAGCATCAAAAACTTTATACTCGTTGATTTTTCAAAAAAAGTTGTACATAGCAGGGCCACCTTAAGGGATTTGCCCACCGAACCTATTGAGCTCAGTATATATAGGGAACCTAAAAGGCACCCCTCCCACAAAGTTTGGAGTCGTTTGAAAAAATCTTTCCCCGAAGGGCTAAGTTTCGAAAAAATCAACGAGGGAACACTACCCTGACCCTCAGGATAGCAACGGTGTCCCCTTGTTGGTTTTTTTTTTAAAAGTTGTACGTAGCAGGGCCACCTTAAGGGGTTTGGTTCCCAAACCTATGAGGTATATAGGACACCACTAGGCACTGCCACCCCACAAAGTTTGGAGTCGTTTGAAAAAATCTTTCCCCGAAGGGCTAAGTTTCGAAAAAATCAACGAGGGAACACTACCCTGACCCTCAGGATAGCAACGGTGTCCCCTCGTTGGTTTTTTAAAAAAGTTGTACGTCGCAGGGCCACCTTAAGGGGTTTGGGTTAGGGAACCTATGAGGTATATAGGGCACCACTACGCACCGCCACCCCCACAAAGTTTGGAGTCGTTTGAAAAAATCTTTCCACGAAGGGCTAACGAAAAAACTATCTGCACTGCAAGGCTATACATTTCATACAAGCTACATCATGCTAACACAACCCTTTCCTATTATTATCAAGACATGTACAAATTTAGAACTTGAAAATAGAATCATGTTACTATTACACTGGCCCGTGTCGGTATGAAATAATTTGGCAATTTTGAAAGAACTATTGCAACTACAAGGCTATACATTTCATACAAGCTACATCATGCTAACACAACCATTTCCTATTATTATCAAGACATGTACAAATTTAGAACTTGAAAATAGAATCATGTTACTATTACACTGGCCCGTGTCGGTATGAAATAATTTGGCAATTTTGAAAGAACTATTGCAACTACAAGGCTATACATTTCATACAAGCTGTTACAACCATTTCCTATTATTATCAAGACATGTACAAATTTAGAACTTGAAAATAGAATCATGTTACTATTACACTGGCCCGTGTCGGTATGAAATAATTTGGCAATTTTGAAAGAACTATTGCAACTACAAGGCTATACATTTCATACAAGCTACATCATGCTAACATATAACTGCATTAAAAAGCCGTTGAAAAACCGCACATTACATTGGCATAAAATTAGATTACTACATGCAGAACTAACAGAGAAAATTGAGCATGAAAGTGGCAAATGTATTTGCGTTTATGTAAAAGTGGCCGTACGGAATTTGAATTCCATAAGCCACCACATCCTGCCGCACAGAATACAATTTTTAACAAAAAATATCATAATACAATCACACATACCTTAATCGAAGCGAAACGAGTGCTGTTTAATAGATTAATCAGCGTAAAACGAGGACCAGAACTAACAAGAAACAGAAAGAAATATAATATTAGTGTCTGTTAGGAAATAGCATATTTCTATACAGAGTATGCCCGCACGGATATTGTCATATCTTAACGGGAATTTTAGGTATATTTAGACTGATAACTGCATTGAAAAGCCGTTGAAAAACCGCACATTACATTGGCATAAAATTAGATTACTACATGCAGAACTAACAGAGAAAATTGAGCATGAAAGTGGCAAATGTATTTGCGTTTATGTAAAAGTGGCCGTACGGAATTTGAATTCCATAAGCCACCACATCCTGCCGCACAGAATACAATTTTTAACAAAAAATATCATAATACAATCACACATACCTTAATCGAAGCGAAACGAGTGCTGTTTAATAGATTAATCAGCGTAAAACGAGGACCAGAACTAACAAGAAACAGAAAGAAATATAATATTAGTGTCTGTTAGGAAATAGCATATTTCTATACAGAGTATGCCCGCACGGATATTGTCATATCTTAACGGGAATTTTAGGTATATTTAGACTGATAACTGCATTGAAAAGCCGTTGAAAAACCGCACATTACATTGGCATAAAATTAGATTACTACATGCAGAACTAACAGAGAAAATTGAGCATGAAAGTGGCAAATGTATTTGCGTTTATGTAAAAGTAGCCGTACGGAAATTGAATTCCATAAGCCACCATATCCTGCCGCACAGAATACAATTTTTAACAAAAAATATCATAATATAATCACACATACCTTAATCGAAGCGAAACGAGTGCTGTTTAATTGATTAATCAGCGTAAAACGAGGACCAGAACCAGAACTAACAAGAAACAGAAAGAAATATAATATTAGTATCTGTTAGGAAATATCATATTTCTATACAGAGTATGCCCGCACGGATATTGTCATATCTTAACGGGAATTTTAGGTATATTTAGACTGATAACTGCATTGAAAAGCCGTTCAAAAACCGCACTTTACATTGGTATAAAATTAGATTACTACATGCAGAACTAACAGAGAAAATTGAGCATGAAAGTGGCAAATGTATTTGCGTTTATGTAAAAGTAGCCGTACGGAAATTGAATTCCATAAGCCACCATATCCTGCCGCACAGAATACAATTTTTAACAAAAAATATCATAATATAATCACACATACCTTAATCGAAGCGAAACGAGTGCTGTTTAATTGATTAATCAGCGTAAAACGAGGACCAGAACCAGAACTAACAAGAAACAGAAAGAAATATAATATTAGTATCTGTTAGGAAATATCATATTTCTATACAGAGTATGCCCGCACGGATATTGTCATATCTTAACGGGAATTTTAGGTATATTTAGACTGATAACTGCATTGAAAAGCCGTTCAAAAACCGCACTTTACATTGGTATAAAATTAGATTACTACATGCAGAACTAACAGAGAAAATTGAGCATGAAAGTGGCAAATGTATTTGCGTTTATGTAAAAGTAGCCGTACGGAAATTGAATTCCATAAGCCACCATATTGTTAGTTCTGATCCTCGTTTTACGCTGATTAATCTATTAAACAGCACACGTTTCGCTTCGATTAAGGTATGTGTGATTGTATTATGATATTTTTTGTTAAAAATTGTATTCTGTCATCGTAAATTGCTCTAAGGCTCTAAAATGCTTGCTGCACGGCGTAATATTAAAAGTTGCTGCTTCTTGTGATTTTGAACAGTTCTCAGCCATTTTATCCGTATGCTGAACAGCCGAAGTAACAATGTTGGAATAATTAGAGATAATTAAAATTTCTGCGGGAAATAAATTATCATTAAATCGAGTTGAAAATTGTGTTCTGAGGGTCACGCATAATGTTACGTCATCACAATGGAATGATTAAGGGCAAAATGCGCAAACAGAAGTGCAAATGCAATTGCGAACATCAAAATTCAATTCTTTAATATCAAAATTCAATTCATTGATATCAAAAAGCACGGAACGAACAACAAAATCTAGAACTTGGAATGCAAAATTCAAACATTAATTTTGGCGGTAATCACCCTCCATAGTTTACAAAATGCCGTTCTCCTCTGAAATGGCTTCTTTTGCGGGAAGCCATTAAATTTATACACTTTCCAAAATTGTAATTTAGTCGCTTTTTTGGTCTCATTGTTCACTTATTTATCATGGAATTACTTCGCTTGGGCTCTTTTAATAATATCTGCAAGATACTTTGCTATTTGGTGAAATAAAAGCTATATTTTTAGCAGTTTATCTTTTGAAAACTGCATGTGCAACAAAGTGTCACCAATGTGTTTTCTCTCGTCTGACAAACAACCAAAGATGAAATACTTTATTTCACTCTTTTATAGCAATCTAAAATGCCTAAATATTAGATTATTCATTTTATTCATTTTATTTGAGCATACATATTATATTTTTATACAATTGGTCCTTGTTAAAATTCTTACCTGATGAATATTCAAAAGTGTTCCTCTCTTTTTGACGACTTTCAGTGCTCTTAATAGCGAAATAAAAAGTCTTTTGTTTTGTCACTGCACACTGCATTTGAAAATGCTGGCTGTCAAAGTCTGAATTAAAAACACCTCAAATATTTTTAAATTTTCTCACCTTTTTCATCCTTTGTTTATATTTTAATTAGTAATTTTTGTACTTTGAGTTTTTCCAAACATATTTGAGGTATTTAAAAACTTCAAAGAGGTACAAACACAGCGTTTTTGGGTTACAGAGTTTTTGGACTTGAACAACAAGTTCTGAAGTTCAAGTTCTCCATTGTAAACTAGATGTCCTGAGTGTGCCCGAGCTATGGCCAAGCAAATTTTTATAACGTTTGATTATTTTGTAATTTATACCCTACTAATTTGAATATAAATGTGTATCAATCCATGAATCAAAAAATATTTGGCCATTTTTGTTGGGTAATGGAATTATTGCCCTTCAGATGTTGGGTGTCATGAAGAAACAAAATGTCAGGGACCTAAATTTGCACAAACCAAGAATTCTCACCCAAAAATCTAATGATAATATTTAGGTGTGGGAGCTCAAATAAAATTGATTAATCATTTATCATTTTAATCCACTGCCAAATTTCATTTTAATCCACTTGCCAAATTTAACTAAAATTCGCCATTTTCCTTACAACTTGGGGAGTGCCAATGTTGCAACAGTCTGCAACTTAATGAGTTAAAGAATTATGAGATTTATTTCTATTTATAATATAGCATTTGTAAATTCTGAACACTGATTGGCTAAGAGCCTGTTGATATAACTCAATGTCAACACGGGAAATTTTCCGCCGCTTGTAAACACAGAAATTTTTCTTATCCTTCGGACTTTTGACATTGCCATATTATAAAAAAAATATAAAACATTTTTTCCGTATTGATATGTAGTTATATCAACACTCGTGGAAGTTGGGAAAACTCGAAATTGTATGAAAACACTCCGCCCTTCGGGCGTCGTGTTTCCATACAATTTCTCATTTTCCCAATTCCACTCGTGTTGATATAACTGTATATCAACACGGAAAATGTTTTATATTTGTTAAATCATAATCAAGCCTT